CCGGAATTATTTATTTTTTCCGGAAAACTATTTTATAATCTTACAGTTTATATTAATATTTTCCGGAAAAGTCTCTATTTTCCGGAAAATATATTTTTCCGGAAGATGCTCTATGCTATAACCATATTCTTTTGTATATTTTATCATAACTATTGTAATATCCATTTTTTAAAACTTTTCTATTTTTATCTTGCTCGATTATCTATTTTTTTTCTCAACATTTTTTTACAATTATTATTATTATTATCTCTCCATTTTATTAAATTCTTTTTTTTATTTTTAACACTTTTTATTATTTTCATTTTTATTTAAAAAATTTTTTAAAAACACTTTTTCACTTCATTATCACACCTTTACAGCCATTTTACAACCAAAAATGACTAATCTTTTTACATTTACAAAACTGGAAAAGTAAAAAGAATATTTATTTTTATTTTTTATTTTTTACATTTACGACTGACAGAATTTTTTTAATACAATCAACACCAGTTTATTATAATATAGTTAATCGCTTAGTATTAATACGTGGAAAAGCAAGCAAAAAAAGTAAAAAAATGTAAATCGTATTTAAATATTCAAAAACTGGATAGGAAGGGTGATGACAGTCATGTAAGAGAGATTGACTAATAAACTGGACATTAAACTATATTTTTTTGACAAAACTTTAAAAAAAAAATATTTTTTTGTATTTTATTGGATTAATAAATTAATTTATTAATTAATATTATCCCCCCAAAAAAATTCTAATTTTAAGTTTATTATTTTCTTTATCCCCTTAATTCATAAGCGCAACCATTCCAAACCTAATACATTAAATACATTAAAAATAAATCGATCCTAATCTTATTATTTATTAGAAGGGATTAATTTACAAAAGATTTTTATCTTAAAAATATTTTTTTCCAATTAAGAGTTTAATAAATTTAAGCTTTAAAATAATCCTTCAAAATAACTATTAAGCAAGGTATAAATATTTTTTCCGGAAAAGTGTCTATTTTCCGGAAATGGGAGATACTAAATATTTTCCGGAATTTTTTTTCAGTATTTATTTTTTCCGGAAAATTTATTTTTGCTGTTTATTTTAATATTTTCCGGAAAAATATTTTCCGGAAAATGCTTATAATGCATTTTTCCGGAAATGTTTCTATTTTCCGGAAATGAGAGATACTAAATATTTTCCGGAATTCTTTCCAGTATTTATTTTTTCCGGAAAATTTATTTTTGCAGTTTATTTTAATATTTTCCGGAAGATGTTTATAATACATTTTTCCGGAAAATGTTTTATTATACATATTCCGGAATTAATTATATATTTAATTACAGGCGGAGTCTTACAACAAATTAAATTCTATTTTATTTTTCAAAACAAAAATAAATAAATAATGGATGTTTTAAACAGACTAATTACACGTACTAACGGTATTTCTTCCGGTTTTGAACGTCTACCACCACAAAACAAATTAATTGACGATCAAAAACAGCAAAAAAGTTGTAAAATGGTTAAATTGCCTTGGAAATGTTGCAAAAATAATTTTGGAGATGTTAAAACTAGTAGCATTAAAAATTCAAAAAAGTAAAATTTTTTCTTTAAGAAATTAATATTTATTTAATTTTTAATATGTAGAACGGGAAAGCAAAATACCCAGAATACTCTTTTAAATGTTTCTGCTTCTGAACCAAATTTAAATTTGGAAATTTCAACCAAAAATGAAGCTTTAAATACACTAAAATCTCAAAATTTGGATTATGAAGAGGATTGTGGAATTTTAATTGATAGTGACCGTGAACGACTCTGCGACAAAAATGTGGAGAAGAATTCCCCTAGTCCGAAAAATGAAAATTTGCCGGTACGGGCGTTACAACGGGTAATTAATTGAAAATATTAAAATTAATTAAAAAATATTTGTAGGTTCGTGGAAAACTTCCTGGAAGCAAAAAACTTGCTGCAGAACAAAGCTTTAATACTAAAACTTCCCACAATGTAATTACTACTACTTCGTCTGCACCAACTTTGCTTGTTAAACAATTTAGAAAACATGTGTGTTTTTATAATTATTTTATAAAACTTTCCGGAAAACTTCATTAATTAATGTTTTCAGTAAATATGTATATTATTTTTCCGGAAAAATAAATCTTTGGAAACATTTTCCGAAAATTAAATACTATTTCCGGACAACATTATATTTTCCGGAAAATAATAAATATAAAATTTCCTGAAAATATAAATATTTTTCCGGAAACATAGATAACTTCCGGAAAAATATATATCGAACAAAATTATATCTTCCGGAAGATAGAAAATATTTTCCGGAAAATATATATAAAATTTCCTGAAAACATAAATAATTTTTCGGAAACATATATATTTTCAGGAAAAATCTTTAGAAACATTTTCCGGAAATTAAATAATATTTCCGGACAATATTATATTTTCCGGAAAACAAAAATATTTTCCGGAAAATAAATATAAAATTTTCCGGAAAATTTTTTCTATGTATTATAGGCAAAAATTACTGACATGGTTGGGGGCAGCATTAAAAAAGCTGGAAATTCTTTTGATTCTACTTCTGTTGATTCAACGACTAACAGTACAAATAACAATTCTGACAAAGAAAAGAACAAGAATCGTAAAAAGAGTTCGAATGATGCGCAACGATTGTTATTGTTTGAGGAGGGGATGGCTATGGATTGAATTACTATGTTTTATTGAGAATAAAATTAGAAAATAGAGAAAATTTTTTTGTTTTTTTTAATTTGTATTTTTTGACTATTTTCCCCTTATTATTCTGTACATTTCTTTGTATATTTTAATGACCGTTAAGATTTATTTAATATTATTTAAAGCTTTTATCCCAATTTTCTCCTTGTAGCGTCTATTCTGATACCATATTTTCACCTTAAAATTAGAAAAAAAATAAATTTTTAAAGTATTCAAATTTGTGTTAAACTTGTTGAGGTGTCAAGCCGAGTATAGCTGAAAATTTATTTCGTTGCTCTGTATCAATATACCTTTATATTAAAATATTTAAAAAAATTTTAACTAGAGTTTACGGATACCTTTGCTTTGTGAATTGCTTTTCTAAAAAAGTTGTTTGCAAGATATTACTGAAAAATAAAAAAATTTTCAAGAACATTCCTTCCGCTTACAATGATTGCCTTCGAGCTTTACACTTGATAATATTCTGATTTTCTTTTTTCTGATTTCCCTTGTTCTCTTTCGTACGTTCAAAACTATACTTTCCTGAATGTTTGTTTAGTACAGACAAACTAGGAAAAATACGGAAGGAATGAAGCGGCCTGAGAAAATAATATTAATTATTCCGGAATTGATTATAAATTGTATATCTCTAATGTTTATTTATAAAGCTTTCCGGAAAGTTATGGATTTATAGCAAATATTCCTGAACATCTATTAAACTTTCCGGAAATATTAACTCAAATTCCGGAATATAAATGGATATTAATAATATTCCGGAAATATCAACTCAGCAAATAAACTCTTTCCGGAAAATACAAAAACATAATAATTATAAATACATTGAAATTCTTCCAAAACATGGTATAGGTGTCAACATGATGTTTTGTTGTATATGCTTAAAACAACGAACATAATTTTTGTTCATAGCAACTTTAACATTATCATGGTTATTGGAGAGAATAGATTCAATAGTGAAGTTTTTTAAAGAGTCACGACAGACGCTCATAATTTATTTAAAAAATACAAGTTTTAGTTTAATAGAATCCAAGAAGCTTATAGTATACTTAGAAAAGCTCTTTTTATCTCCCACCCTTAATTTTAAGGCTCCTTCCTTTTTATTTTTGCAACATTTTACCGCAAATCTTGTCAAAATTATGTTTTACGACCAAATGTGTTTAGTGGAATTGTGTTGTTGTTTTTATGATTTTTAGTGGGTAAAATAAATTTATGGCTACTCCGTTAAGCTAATGGGGAGAGGATACTTTCAAAATACTTTTTTGAAGCAGAAGGTACTATAAAAAATTCTATAAACGCCCCCTTTATTGAAAACTCTCGAGAAAAGGTTGTTTTTATATAAATTAATTAAAAAAACAAAAAAAATAAATAATAAATTTAGGCAAAGTATTTCCTCTAATTAGCTAAAATAATACTATCTAATTTTGGCTCTACTCCAGTTTATGCGTCCAATCGACTTTTATGCGTCCAATGAAAGTTTATGCGTCCAATAAAAAGAAAATTGGATTTTTCTTGGTATTGCAAAGTTGGGGTATGGTTTCAAAACATTTATTCATGTTCGGGACCTACGCCCACTGGGTTTGGAGCCATTCCTTGCCCTATTCCTCGAAATTTCTTAAAGTTACAATCGTTTTTCTGAGATTTTTAAAAATTGGCTATAACTTTCAGAAATTTCGAGGAATAGGGCAAGGAATGGCCCCAGACCCAGTGGGCGTAGGTCCCGAACATGAATAAATGTTTTGGAACCATACCCCAACTTTGCAATACCAAGAAAAATCCAATTTTCTTTTGATTGGACGCATAAACTTTCATTGGACGCATAAAAGTCGATTGGACGCATAAACTGGAGTAGAGCCCTAATTTTTTTAATTATTAGAGGAAATATTAAAATAAATGGCATATTTTATAGTTAAAATTCTATCAAATTTCAAGCTTTTCATCTTCTCCTGCTTATAGAAGCAATACCAACTGGACAGCAAATATGGAAAGCGGAATCAGCGGCAGGCATACATCCTGTACCTGGTGGGCATCGCTATTGTAATTATGTTGGTTTAAAAATTTTTAACTGGTTTTTTAAAAAATCCATATCTTGGCTAAATATTAATTTGAAATTAATTATTATAGAGAGCGATGGCTGACTATACATATATTTGTAGATTTCGATAAAGATCTTAAAATAAATAAAGAATTTCCTATTAATTTGTCTTTGAATTTCCCACTTTTTTCAACGACACTTGCCTTTACTTAAGATTAAAAAATATTTTTTTAAACCTTTTGTTTTGATTGGTTTTTTATACTCCTATCTTAATTTCGTCCATCCCCCTTTTATTCTTCGCTATCTTTTTTATTCACTTCTCTTATTCAGCTTTTCTTCAATTACATGCTTCTTTCTTAATTTTACTTTTGCTAAAACTTAAAAAAATATTTATTCTGATTTTTAATTATTCTGATTTTTAATTATAAATTCTGGTTGTTTTAATTTAATTCTGGTTTTATTTAGGTTGGTTTAAAAATTTTTAAGTGGTTTTTTAAAAATTCCATATCTCGGTTAAAATACGTTAAAATAAGTTTTTATCCGTCAATTTTATGGAGAGTACCTTACTTAATAATTGTGAAAAAATTCAGCTTTCCCGACACGATACAAAAAATTTTCTCACGTCAGTAAATTTTCAGATAATAAAAAATGTCAGATGCAAATAAATCAAATTATTTTCGAGAATTAAACAGAAAAGGAGTTGAAAAAAGGCAGAAAAAAAAGAAACCCAATCGAATCGCACGAAAAAAGCAACTATATCCCGTTGGTCCTCTTCTGTCATCGGGAGTTCTCCATCAATGAATGCCTCAAATAATTCCATTACTGCTGTTTCTTCATCTACTAATTCAATTATTGGACTGGAGGAACCTTGTCACTCTAAAATTTCAACAAATTTTGAAACCCCGGTTTTGGAAAATTCTTCAACGAAGTTGTCTGACTCAACATCTGAGTAAGGAGAATTTTAAAGATTATTTTTAGATTTATTTTATTATTTTTAGTCTTGTCAAAAAAAATTTTTTCGACTCGTTACCAAAGAGTGGAGCAGATAAAGACGATACTCCCCGTATTATTATTCAAAACAAAACTCTTCAAGAAATTAAAACTGAATTAATACGTCTATTTTTAGCTGTAATATTTTTTTGCTTTTCCTTAAAATATTTTTTAATTTTTAGATTCAAGAACTTAGTCATTCTGTTGTTGGCCAAAATTCATTTAGATTGGAATACAAAAAGTTAACTTATGTTAGATCTTCACAAACTGTAAAATTTCAAGGTTTTAAGTTTGAAATCATTTTCATTTATGAAGTTAATTATTTTAGTTGATATTCTAACACCTCCAAATAAACGAAGAGATTCTCAAAAAATAACTGATTTTTATGTTGTTCAATTTACTTTGATTTCTGGTAGATTTCTTTAAATTTTATTTTAATTCTGTTCTAGGACCACTTCGAAGATTCCGTCGATTATTCGAACATTTTTCTACTGTTCTCAAAAGCTCACAAAGGTCTTCCTCTCCTTCTGTTTACCCTCGTAAAATTTCTTCAACATTATCGTTTGACTCTGATGAAGCTCACTCAGTGGATATGCAAATGTCTGATCAATTAAGTACACTTTCTTTCTCCCCTTCCAACCGTATTAGATCTCGTAAAGGTGATAAATTTAATTATTTTATTGGATTTTTATTTTTGATTGTATTTTTTGTTAAGCTTCTCTTCATAAACCCGTTTCACCAAATCAACAGAAGGGTTCCACTTCTTATCAGAACTCATTGAACTTTTGTATTTTTTGTTCAGCTTCAAAAATAAGACATGGTAGAAGACATTTTTCCACACGTTTGTGCAATTTTTACTCCTTTTACAACAATTTAACTAACTGGTCAATTGCGTTTGAACAGGTTACAAATCGAGCAATAAGTATTAATACAAAAGAGTTAACAAGTATGATTACAACACCAAAAGGAGAATCTATGGTACCTAACACATTTATAATTAGAAATCAGAATGGAAAAGAAATTTTTTCAGGTTTACATATGCAGGAAAGGATTGGATTTTAATGATTTAGTCTACGTGGGCACAACAAAAAATTTCAAAAACAGAATTAGCAGTCATCAAGGAGACAAAAGTAGAACCATTTGGAGACAATCGGAGAAAAAAAATATCAACATTAAAAATTTACAACAAGCTATTTTAATGCAAAACCTGTCACATGAAAATGCCCTTTTTTTGGGTTACCTTTTCTTAATTTGTTTTAAATTTATTTTTTTTTCAGAGGCTCTTTTGATTTTATCGGACAACCAATCCAACCTATTCAACAAAAGTCCCGAATATAACAACATTCTACGCGTTGTTGAGTACAGAGTTAATCTACACGAAAAAGTATCCTTAATATTTTTATTTGTACTTTTTTATCTCAGGTGCTCCATTATCACAAAATGGCAATTCAACTCCTGATAGAAAGATGGGACATGTTGGCATGGATTTAAGTTTCGTTTAAATTATGTAATTTTAAGGATTTGGTTATTTTATAAAATGATAAAAGTTAAAATAAATGCTTTATTTGGTTGTTTGACCCCCCTAATTTTAACATTCGCTTAATTACTGACTTCATAAATATATGAGGTTTACTTACTTGTGGTTGCCATATTTGCCCGTCTTCTCCAGCGCAAGCAATAGGAAGGTTTGAGGAGTCGCGGATTGCTGATGCTTTTGTACAGAAAGTGAGCACTACAACAATAATTATTCAACAATATTTATTTAAACTTTTCCGGAAAAACATTTTCCGGAAAAACATCTTTGGAAAACATTTTATGGAAAATAAAGAAAATGTTTCTAATAAAAATGTTTAAAAATAATGTTTTCCGGAAAGCAATTATAAATTCCGGAGCATGTTTTTAAAGGAATAAACATGTTTCTAAGAAACATCCCAAAAACAATAAAGCTCCAAAACAAAAACTACAATAAATTCTACTGACCATTTTCATTCTCCCTTTGTTTGTTGTTTTGCCGCCTGTTTGGCAAATGGAAGTATTTGTCAGCGTTGTAAAATTGTGTTTCCTCTTCTTGTTGTTGTTCCATTGGTAATTCTGTTGTTGTTCTATAAATGTTTGGCTCAGCAAAAAACCTCCAGTAATTATTTCCACTGCCTTCTGTATTTATGTTTTGTTTGTTTTTGTGTTTGTTTAAACTTTTATTTTGTTTTTCTTTGTGCTTTGTTGTTTGTTCTGTTGTTTCTGTTGGTGGTTGTGTTGTTTGTTCTAAATAGTTTTTTGTTGTTTCGTTCATATCTTAAAAGATTACAACATTTTCCGGAAAACATGTTTAAAACAAACAAATAAATATTTCCGGAAAACATGTTTAAAACAAACAAACAAATATTTCCGGAAAACATGTTTAAAACAAACAAATAAATATTTCCGGAAAACATGTTTAAAACAAACAAACAAATATTTCCGGGAAACATTTTTAAAACAAACGAACAAATATTTCCGGAAAACATGTTTAAAACAAACAAACATTTCCGGAAAACATGTTTAAAACAAACAAACATTTCCGGAAAACATGTTTAAAACAAACAAACAAACATTTCCGGAAAACAATTAAATCTTCTCCGGAAAACATTTTTAAAACAAACAATTAAACATTTTCCGGAAATACCATCATTAAATAAATCATACCCATTGGAACTAGTATATCCTCCAAACTTTGTGTTTCACTTGCTAAAAAATAATAAATTTAATTAAAAATTTCAAATAACTAACTACTAATATCATTTCTCTCATCAATTTGTATCATTTTTTCAATATTTTCAGAAGGCATTTTCATCATAGGTTTATTGTCTTTAGGGGAAAACAAAGGACTTCCATCTTTTTTAACTTGAAGAGAAGCGATTGAGCGCTTTACGGCTGCTTCATTATTTATTGGAGAAATCTCTTCGTCTTTAAAATTTGTAGTTGGTGGAATAAAAGGTACAGAAGTAAGGCCTAATATTTTTTAATGATCAAAAAATTGAAGAATTTTTGAATTACTCGGTTTTCTCCTAATTTCAGCATTTTTAGAAGCTATAGTGCGCGGTTCATCCTCGTCTTCAAAATGCTCTTCTTCGTGACGATCATCAAAAGGACTAGCTTTCTCAAAACGAGATTCTACTCTTTCAAAGTGTCCGTGATTTCCAAAATTCTTTTGGATAAAATTTTGGTTTCTATTTTCAAAATTGGGCAAAGAAATTGTTGTTTCGTGATTAAAAGAATTTTCAAAATTATTTTGGTGCTGGTTTTCTTTAGTGTTTCTATTCAAGTTTTCTTCCTTTCTAGTGTTGTAATGCTTGTTAACTAATAATTAATAGAATTGATTCCGGAAAATATATAACTCTGGAATATATTCTTTCCGGAAGCAATTACTAAATTAAATAAGCAGTTAAATGTTTCCGGAAAATATATAATCATAAAAATCTCCGGAAAAATAACTCTAAAAGCTTCCGGTAAATTTCTTAAATTAATTAAGAAATTCCGGAAAGGATATTTTTATTTATTATTCCGGAATGGATATTTTTATTTATTATTCCGGAAAGGATATTTTATTTATTTATTTAAAACCCTATATTTTACCAGCTTCATGTTGAGTTGTTTCAGTATCGTCAAACGTCTCTATATGTTCTTCTTGCCTCTAAAAATAAATTATATTTAAAACAATTATTTGTTTCTCTACATTTTTATGATTATGCCTAAGCCTTTCCAAGAGTTGTGCACGTTCAGCATCAAAAGGAGAAATATCAGTCTCTTCGTCAGGCAATCCCATCATTCCTGTTGATGTTTCCACAGGTCCTTCCAAACGTGCAGGAGGTCGTTTATGGCGAAATTGTTGATTTAATGGACGTCTTGAAAGCAAAGTTACATCAATTTGAGGATGTTCAATGGATGGATCAAAAGCTGAAGGTCCAAAGACCTCCAAAGCTATTCTGTCTAATTGCCGGCGCTTAAACAAAGGAAGTCTTGTTGTTCTAGTTTTTGGAAATTGAGTAATGGTAGTATGGTAATTGGTTATTTCTCGCTCAACATTCCCTTCATCGTCAGCAACCTCATAATCAACACCCATGCGCATAGGACGAGAAGTTGTCGCGATTAAAGCTGCGAACTTAACAGAAATAATTAAACATTTATAGAAACATCTTGATTGAAATGTTTGTTGAGAAAAGAAGTTGGGAAAACAAAAAGTTTAGAAAAACATTTAAAATGTTTTGTTCGGAAAAGAAGTTGGTAAAACACAAAATTAATAAAAACATTTTTAAATGTTTTGTTCAGAAAAGAGGTTGGGAAACACAAAATTATTAAAAACATTTTAAAATGTTTTGTTTGATGTTTTGTTGGGAAAAGTCGGGAAAACACAAACTTATAAAAACATTTTAAAATGTTTTGTTGGGAAAAGAAGTTGGGAAAACACAAAATTAATAAAAACTTTAAAATGTTTTGTTGGGAAAATAGGTTGGGAAAACACAAAATTAATAAAAACATTTAAAATGTTTTGTTGGGAAGAAAGTTTTGAGAAAACACAAAATTAATAAAAACATTTTTAAATGTTTTGTTTGCGAAAACATTTTTGGAAAAACACAAACTTGTTGGCTTCTATATTCTTTTAATTGTTTATGTTGTTGTTGACTCTCATGTTTTTGTTCTACATTCTCTTCCCTTTCTTCATGTTTGTTTTCTTGTTGTTGCTCTTGTTGTTGTTTTCTTCTGTTTTTGTGTTTCTTAGAAACATTCTTTTTAGTGTTGTTTTCTTCAGCAGTATTTAATGTTGGATGTTCTTGATTGTTTGAGGAATATTTTGTTGTTTTTGCTAATTCTATCGCTAATGTTTCCGCTGTTTTATGTTCAGATCCTAATCTTTGTTCTAATTCTCTTTTGTAGTCAATGTTTTGAAACTTCTTTTGTTGTTGTTGTTTAATTAATGCTTGGGGAGATGAAGGGGGTAACTGTGCAAATTGCTTAGACGAAGCTGCTGCTAAAACTGCAAGTTTCCCTCTAGAATCTAAAGGTGGAGGAGATGGAAAGCCATCCAACGGGGGAAGTTTTTCAGATGTTGCTAATGATGTTGTAGGAGGAATAAGTCTATTATTTTCTTCAATTCCTTCAAGTAATTTTTTCTTTTTTCTCGATTTACGCTTCTTCTTTTCGACTTGTTTTTCGTTAATTTCTCCAGTTGTTTCATTTTTGAAAATTTTTACTCCATCTACTAAAATTTGGTTTTCAGTTCCTACTGTTGTTGATCGACGTGAAAGCTTTAAAATTTTTTTTTTTGAAATTTTTCACCTTATAAACTTACAAAAGCATGGGTATTATTTTCTGAATTTAATTCATCTACAAAATAATCAGCAAAATTTCCATCATTATTTTCCTCAGTATGTGCTTTATGATGTTCCTTACGTCTTAATGTTTTTGCATCATCAAATTGTCGGGGAAAGTTTAATTGGGGAATTGTTGTTGTATTTGTTGCATTATGTGGAGTGAATGAAAATGGGACTTTTTCCTGATCGTCTATTTCTCTTAAAAACTTGTTTATTAATTGTTTTGTTTAACAAACTTGTTTGAATAAATTTTTGTATTACCGGAAAAACATGTTAAAAAGCATAAACATGTTTAATTTAATTCGGAAAAACATGTTTTACTTTATTTGTTTTTCATGTGAAACATGTTTGAATTTAATTTCAGTGTTTTCCGGAAAAATATTTTTAGGTATTTTATTTTTATTCCAACCTTACCTTAACATTACATCAGCAAACTCTTCGCTTGTTGGAGGTGGTGGAAGCTTCTTGTTTCTATCTTTGCTATTAGACTTGCTGCTATTAGATCTCGTGTTTTCACCAGATTTACTCTCATTTAAACTCTGAATTTTTAAAATCATTTTATTTATTTAAAAATAGAAAATCTACCAAATTATCAATATTCCCACTTTCTAACTGTGTTGGAAACAATGTTTCGACTGATTGTTGTGCTGGTGAAACTGTTTTGTTATCTGATAATGCAGACTGAAAATTTTTATTTTGTTGATGTTGTTTATTATCTTTCTCCCATTCTAATGTATATATTGGCAATGATTTTCGGAGCGATAAAACTTCGTTAGTTGTATTCTCTTTAGTTAAGTTTGCTTCAGAATTGTGCTCATTAATTTCTAAAAAATTTCAACACAACTTGTTTTATTTATTTGTTTATTTCCGGAAAAACATGTTTAATTTATTTGTTTATTTCCGGAAAAACATATTTTATTTGTTTATTTCCGGAAAATCATGCTTTATTTTATTTTATTTCTTAAAAACATTTTATTTAATTTCACCCTAGAAAAACATTATTTAATTTTTTAAATCGTTCCGGAAAAACATGATTTTTAATTTTATCCTACCGCTTGTTGAGGTGTTCGTTTCATTCAAATTTTCTGCTAACGTTGTATTAGCAACATTATTTTCATTATCAGAATCTTCTATTTTTCCTTCATTAGAAATTTCAGAAATTAATTTCCTCCATCCCGGATTGCCATAATTTATTGAGAAAATTCTCAATTTATTTCTCGGTAAAGCTTCAACTCGTTTTTGTGCTAACAATGCATTTTCTCTAACTTCTTGTGCTACAGGTCCGTCTGCTGGTATAGTGAATGGTAGCGGGGTTGTTTCGTTTGCTTCATTATCCAAAGAAGCAGATGCTGTAACTGTAGCAAAGTCGAGTTGATCATTAACTTGTTTTCTGTTGTTATTCGGTCTATTCTCTGTTGGTAAAAAAGCTTTTTGATTTTGTTGTTTTTGTTCAGTATTAACAACCATTGGCTCCCACCATATTGCAGCAGGAGATTGGGTTGTTTCTAATACATTTGGGAAGCTGGATAAACTAATTGTTTCTGTTTTTGGTTGCTTATTCTCAATTTTATTTGAATCTTGTGCCAGAGTTTTTACTTGTTCCAAAGCTTGAGAAACATTTGCTTCTTTGAATTTACTCGAAACATTTTTTGGTGTAATTTGGACAGGTTCTCCAAATAATATTCGATGCATAGCTTCCCCATCCCCTGAATCACCGTTTGAAATTTTCGGGGTAATTTGATCCGTTGTTTCAAAATTATTCTCCCAATCGCTTTGCTTGGCTGCGATGATATTTTCAGTTGTGTTGTTTGAGTCAACTTAAAATAAAAACAATGTTGTTATAGTTGTAAATGTTTTCATGAAACATATAAACATTTCACTAAACAATGTTTAGATAAACATTGTTTTAAAAACAACATCCACTTATTTTCCGGAAAACATCATCCGAACATTTAATTATTTTCTTGAAAACATCCAAACATTCAATTATTTTCTTGAAAACATCCAAACATTCAATTATTTTCTTGAAAACATCCAAACATTCAATTATTTTCTTGAAAACATCCAAACATTCAATTATTTTCTTGAAAACATCCAAACATTCAATTATTTTCCGGAAAATATCCAAACATTCAATTATTTTCCGGAAAATATCCAAACATTCCATTATTTTCCGAAAAACAATCATCCAAACATTGAAATATTTTCCGGAAAACTATCATCCGAACATTTAATTATTTTCCTGAAAACATCCAAACTTTAAATTATTTTCCGGAAACATTCAAACATCAAAACATTTTAATTGTTTTAATATTGCCCAAACAAATTATTTAATTAATTAACCTGCATCTGCATGTGAACTTCTTTCCATTTCCACACCTTCCTCTTTAGGAATCTGAATAGTTTTTACTTGAAGCCGCTTTTCCACCGCTCTAATAGCGTCAACTCTTCGTTGAATTGTCAGTTCAGCCCTTTCTCTATCTTCAACTCCATTATTAATTCCTGCAGAAACATCAACAGGTCGTGGCGGGGTTAACGTAAAAGTATGTTCACGCATTCCCTTACGCCTTAACAATAAATTAGATTTTATTGGTTCGTATATTTGTTTTTTTGCAGCTAAAGCTTTTGATATTGAGTTTTCCAAGTGTTGTGGTGTTTGTTTTTCTTTTTTGTTTTGTTCCGCTTCTTTAATTTGTTGTGTTTCTTGATGTTGTTTTTCATCTTGTTTTTCCTCATGTTTTTCCTCATGTTTTTCCTTATGTTTTTCCTCTTGTTTTGCTTCATGTTTTTGTTCCTCTTGTTGTTGAGAGTGTTGTTGTTTAGGTTCTTCTTTTGTTTGTTGATTGTTGTTTTGTTGATTTTCTTGTTGTGTTTGTTGTTTTTCATATTGTTCTTCTATTGCATGTTTTGATTGTTCTAATAATGTTTGTTGTTCGTTACGTTGTTTTTCTTGCTCTATCACTTGTTTTTCATTTTGTATTTTTCCTTGTTGTGATTGTTCGTTGTGTGTTTGTTGTTTTTCTACTAGTTTTTGTTGCTCTTGTTTCTGTCTTTCCTCTAATCTTTTGTCATCATGTTTTTGTTCTCTTCCATATTCCAAACTTTGAACATGATCTGGTGGGTTTTTATGATGCCTCAAAATTTTCACTGCCAATTCCTTTTTGCGTTCGCCAACTGCTTGTAGGATACGACCAAATTGAATTGTTTTAAATGGATTGTGTCCGTATACTTTAATTCTTGGTGAAGCACTTTCTGCATTTTTGTTTCTTTCCGTATTTTGTTGTTCTTGTCCTTCAGGAGTTATTGACGGTTGTTCTGGTTTTGTTGATTTTTTAACGTTTATAGGTGACATTTCTAACATTGATTCAACGGTTATTACAGGCTTTAACGTCGTTTGTTGTTCTATATCCTTATCTCTTATATTTTTATCCTGAACCTTTATTTCTGTCCTTTGTTGAACAGCCTCAGGAGTATGACTTTGTTCCTGAACTGCTTGAATTTGATGCCGTTCTTTTTCTTCATTATTTATTTTAGCTTCCTGAGTATCTGGATGAACTTGACTTTGAATGGGCTCACTATTTTGAGGATGTACACTTTGAACTTGTTGTTGAACAGCTTCAACATGTTGCTCTACAACTTGGGCATTGTTTCTGCTTTCCATATTTTGTTTTATTTCTTGATTAAATTTTTCCCTCTCGGTATGTTGTTGAGCCCCGTCTATTGAGAATGCTTCATCCACTCCATCGGCTAAGTTTGCTGGAGGCAGTTCTTCATTTATCGGGGGTGGAACATTCGGACTATTACTAAGCTGATTTTGAAGAGCTATTGTTGCTGTTGCACGCTGCTTAGCAATTGTTCGAGGATCATTAAGAAGAGAAGGAACTTCAATTCTTTGGCTAAACCCAACAGAATTGGTTGGCGGTTTTAAAGAAAATCCAAAATTTCCATTGCTAGTCACCGCGTGAGCAATGGCTATTGTGGGGGTTGTTGGGGTTGTTCTTGTTGTTTCAGCCATTATATCATCTAATTTATTTTTTAATTTTTTTTCCGAATTTTTGGAAAATCCCCTACCAATAGGTCTAGGCGACAAATCACAGAAACGTACACGAATTAAATCTCCATAGACGGCCAAAGCATTAATTAATTTTCCTTGGTATTCAATCTCAACACGTGCCCCACTCCCTGCGGGTTTTTCATAGTCATACTCAACACAATTTCCCTCGTTTCTAGTCCGCAATTTGCAGCATTCTAATTGTATTCTTGTATCAGACAAGCGTGCTATTCCAGCAAGGTATTCCCTCTCTGAACACGTCCAATTCATTTGTTTGTCCAGCAAAATATCAAATTGTTGTGTATAGTGGCATTCTTCATGTTCTTGATCGGCTAATTCTTCTGGTATTTCTAGCCATGGATATAACTTTAAAATTCAATTTTTCTTAGTTTTTCAAATAATTTTTGCTTAATATTTTTTGAAGCAAAATTTTTGCTTCAACTTTTTGCTTCAACTTTTTGCTTCAATTTTTGCTTTCTCAGAATTTTTGCTTCAACCCTTGTATTTTCAATTAAAAAAATTTATTAACCTCCCCAATTTGTTGACAACTCAAAACAAAAACGGTATCTTGTCTCTTCTGCCCTTGTGACTCCACCATTCTTATTGCCAATCTTTGGGCACCCGAAGTTTGTGGACATTCTATACGAAAATTGTCAAAGGGGGATGATATTAAGACTGAAGCAAGTGCTTCAACTTTGATAAATTCAAAAAATAAAATTAAAAGGGGAAATAGAAATATTCGAATAAATAGTTTAATCATCTAATTATTTAATTGTTTTACCTATAAAATTGATTAAAAATGAATAAATTTTTTAGAAAGAAATATTAATGATCCAGGAGAGAATTCTCTGGGTATTTACTCGGCGCGATTTCCCGCTGTTTTAGACAGATGAAAGTATTTTTTTCTGTTTTTTCCCTTCATTCCCGAATTTTCCAACTCATTAGATTCATATTCCTTTTGGTTAATTAATCTTGTAAAAATAGCATAATCAGTGGAACAATTTAAAGAAAACGATAAAAAACGAATGGAAAGGATTACCGATAAAATAAAAAACAATTTAAAACTAGAATAAAACCTGCTTCAGATTTTTAATTGTATTTTAAAGAATAAAAGTATTACAGGTTGTAAAAATACTTTAAAGATAAAAAGTAGGTTTTGAGGTAAACTTGAAAATTAATTTAAAGTTGATTTTACAAACTTGAATATTTATTAATAGTAAATTTAAATGAACTTGAATAGAATAAAATAAAACATTATATTAAACTTTAAATTAAACTTGAAGCAAAACATGTTTTAAAACTTTAAATTAAACTTGAAGCAAAAAATGTTTTTACAACTTTAAATTAAACTTGAAACAAAACATGTTTTATAATTAAAAATAAACTTGAATAAAATAAACTTGAATTGTAAAATTAAATAAAACTTGGAAATAAAACTTGAAACACAGAAAAGAGAAATAAAAACAATTAAAATATAAACTTGAAGCAAAACATATACAAAAACATTTTTAAATATATAAATTAATTTAAAAATATTTTTTAATGTTCGCGCTCATCAATTTATTAAATCTAATATTGTGCTGCCTAAATTATATAAAAATAAAAAAAGTGTAACAAAAGCATCTCCCTTTTCTATCTCAAAATTCTTTAATATTTTTAGCCTTTGTTCTTTGTTTTTAAGCAGTGGAGGAATTTGTGGGGATAGTTTTGGGGAGGATCTCTTGAAGGAATTAATATCCAAAAGATCAAGGATAGAAAAAATAAATATTTCTCGACTCTTAAATGTCAATTTTTATTAGCAACCCCCCAATCTTGGATGAAAAAAGGAAGAAAATAAAACAGACAAACAACTGTGGGAAGCCGGCAGATGAATTAAATCCGTGTTATCAGGTCAATACTTTTATTTAATAATAAGCTAGAAAAGCTATTCAAAAATAGGTGGAAAGGAGTATAGATTAGATAAATAAAAATATTTTTTAATCCCTTTTCTCTTTAAATTTTTTTAAAAATTGTTTTAAACGTTCTGTTGGTCATCGCTCTTTTCCCATTTTCACTTTTACATTCCAAAAAAATTTTTTTCAATAAAAATATTTTCATATTTTTAAATTTTAAATAGAAGGATTAAGCATGCAAAATTTAAACAAAAAAAATATATATGTCAATTTAAAATCATAAAATATTTTTTATTTGGTTCTTATAACTAAACAAACCCCCCTAATGGGAAGGGAGACATATCGGGATTGCGCAGACAAAAATAACTTCCTTCATATATTCTTCAATGGAACCAGAGGTGGGTCGAAATTCCGATTTCCGACTTGCAATTTCCGAAAAAAAATTTTTATTTCCGAGTTCCGACTTTTGAGCAAGTTCCAATTTCCGGCTCTTACAATTTCCGAAACCTGTTCCAATCACCTATGAATGGGACAATTATCCAAGAGCCAGTAGTCATATGTATGTACTGAAACTAGTGTAGTTGCTTGTTTATTGAAATACCCCTAATGTCAGTCCCGATGCCTGACTCATCATAAGGGCATATACATAAACTAATAAATAATTTAAAAATATTTATTTAATTATTAATCATCATCAAAAATATTTTTAAAAGAATATTTATTTGAAATACATTTATTATTGTTATTATAATAACGTTTAACTCCTCCATTTTCATTTTTTAACAAATTTTTTTCTAAATTTTCAAAGGTGGTTGTTGTCTTCTTTATAGGGTTAAACAACCCTTTTTCTTCTTTTTCATTTTTTAAATTTAATAAGGACAAATTACCACCACATTTAGACTCTTCCCCCTTTAATTCCTCTTCAATCGGGGGTCTTTGATAATGACGAATATTTAAATGGTCTTGACAGTAAAGCATATAACAACGAAAGAGGATGACCGTTGCTACCTTAATTTGTTTTTAAAAAAAATTTTTTTTAATTTTACAAGCATAGCAGAGATTAAAACAATAACAATAGTAGCAACTATAAGGCGTTGTACTGCACTTGAATGTTGATCACCCAGAAATTCGTGTAGTTCAAGGCTTCCAAGAGTATTCACTAGTAGAAGACCCTGTAGGAAACTTTAAATGAAAATACAATTTCCGGAAAATGTAAAATTATTAGAGAAAATATAAGTATAAATTCCGGAATGTATAATTAATTGAATTCCGGAAATGTAAATTAATAAATTCCTGAAAGGAATATTCACTTCCGGAAATTTGAGAAATAAATTCCGGAAAGTAATATATCTTTCCGGAAAGTTTTCCGGAAAAATAATACTCATTTCCGGAATTTTGAAATAAATTCTTGAAGAGAATATTCACTTCCGGAAATTTGAAAAATAAATTCCGGAACAAATATTCGTTTCCGTAAGGTTTCCGGAACTAATAAAATAATAATGCTACTATTTTTTCAGAATCTATATTTACTGAAACTTGAAAAATAAATATTTATTTTTCCGGAATTAATTTCTCAACCTTCCGGAAAATAAATTAAATATAGGTATTTCTGGAAAATATTTCCGGAATATTTATAAATTATATCAGGAAGTACATATAAAAATAATCAGGAAATAATAATCCGGAAAACTTAACATACAAAATACAACTCAACTGTTTGATTCACTTGTTGTTCTTTAACAATATTACTAGTTGTAGCATTGTTTCCTTCACCGATTAAAATTTTCTTTGGTGGATTATTCATTTTAAATAAATTTTATACTAAATTCAATTCTCTATTAAATAATTTAAAAAGCATCTTAAACTGTCCAACCGTTCTTGGGTTAACTGGCAATAAACAGCGTGTGTCACCCCAACAATGCTTCGATTTTTAAATTATTTTAGAGGTTTGAGAAAAAGGTAAAAGGAAAAAAATTTTTGTGCGATGTTAAAAATACGAAAAAGTAATTAATCTTCTTTGGTGATAAATAAAAGAGAGAGAAATTGTGATTATTCGATAAATAATTGCGGACACTAATTTTTGAAGTTTTCCTGTCCGCAAATATTTGCGGACAAAATTTGCGGACAAAACTTTTTAAAGAATTTTTATTGCGCATGATCAACGTATTGACGTTTTTGAATTAAAATCAGGTTTAGTTTGAATAGAGTAAATAATTTAAAATTTGAAAAATTTTATTAGAAAAATGAACCTTAATAATTTGTATGAAGTTGCACGTGTATGTGTGACATAATTTAATAAAATAAACGTCGTGATAAGAAGGGGAAAAATTTAAAAAAACAAAATTATAAAATTATGATAATCTTAAAATTAATATACCGTAAATACTCTATTAGAAGCCCTGGGTTCATATTTTCAATGGGTTTCCTCAAATGGGCTTGAATTAGGGACTTCTGCAAGAGGCTGGGCTTACCGTAAAAACTTATTAATGTCCCTCCCTCAAATAATTACCCCGCCTGTATTAGTTACCCCCTCTAGCGAAGAGTTGAAACATTAATTACTCCCTTAAAAATAGTTATAATTGGCCTTTCTAAAATAACCTCTATTAATTACCCCGCCTCTATTTATTACCCCCTCTAGCGAGAGATCGAACATAATCGAAACAACAATAACTGATAATTTTAAACCAAAAACAAATCTATGAGTAATAATTTTATATTTTTATTTTTAAAATCATTTCTCCACCATTTTTAAGCCGTCGAGTCATTCCATATTTTCCTAAAGCCTTTATGTATTCTTTACCCAAATACAAGTACAAACAATATTTATGAATAATATGTATATTCAAATAAATTGGCGCTTTTTTTTCCTTTTATTTGGTTGCCTAGTGGCAGCCGTTCCCTCAAAAACAACACACAATACTCCTTTCCCCTCTCACGTGAAAAACATTTTTTTGTTTCGCTAACTAACTTTTTGGGCAGTCAGCCAGTTTTTTTAATGGAACGCAAACAAATTATTATTCTTCTTATAGGGTTTCTAAATAAGTGTTATTTTACTAGAAACCAACCAAAAATGATATCAAATAATTTTTTTTTAATTTTTTTATTAAAACTAAATAATTTTAATTTGTCCGTTTATTATTTTCTTAAATAAGGCATTTTAGGCGGGTTATCAATAACTGATACAAGGAACCCTGAACTTTTTTATACCCAACCAACTTGCCGTATTTTCTCTAATTGAACGGCCGTATCCATTAGAGCTGTCCTTTGAGAGGGGATTGAAAAATAGCGCGGCTGGCCGCTCAATTAGAGAAAATACGGTAATTTATTTTACATAATAGACTTTTTTCATTATTCGACAGAATAAAAAATTTCCAGCCTTTTCACATTTTGAAAAAAATTTCTTTCTAAAAATTCTTCTTAACAGGCAGACATGTTTTAAAGAATGGCAAATTTTATTCTTTTATTTTTGCCTATTTGCATTTTTTATTTAGCTACTCTTGCCGGATGCTTGTAGGAAGGAAGACGTGTCACTATATCCCCCCTCTATCTACTATATCCCCTCCCCTCTATCTTCCTCTCTCTCTCTCTTTACATATTTCCCAATCCAAATATTTTAGCTAACACTCTATAATTTATTTTAAAGGATTTCTCTGCTTTAAATAATTTTTAAAATTAATTTTCAAGAAATTTTGAAATATCCTCTAATCGGCTTCTACTTACGTGTTTTTATATTAAAATGGCTTCCGTATTTTCTTATTGCTTCCATCCCCTCATAAACACTTTTATTTAAATTAATTTTTATTTTTATTTTCTGATTCTATATTTTATTTATTTAATTTATTTTTCTAGTTATTCTGAAAAAAAGTTTTTTCTGATAATTTTAAAAATCAGAATTTTATTGTATTTGACAAGTGTAAAGTATTAAAACTTTTTTTTCGTTTAAACTTTGTTCACCTTCTCCTTTTAAACTTTCTTTTTTTGTTTAAACTTTTGTTTTTATTAAAAACACAAAGAAATGTTCACGTGTTTTATTTAATAAAATGTTTGGGAAAATGTTGAAATACATATAATAAAAAATTTTTATAATAAAACTTTTTTTAATTATTTGTTTACTCCCTCTAATTTTTTTATTCTTTGCTCTTTACACTATGTTGAAGAAAAAAGTTTGTTTTTGTCTATTCTACAATTGTAATTATTTTTATTCTGAGCAATTGTAAAACTTGTTTTAAATTGTAAAACTTTAAAACTTGTTTGTGGTGAACAAGTTTATTTATTTTACAATTGTAATTATTTTTTAAATAATTGTAAAATTTGTTTTAAAACTTGTTTTGTAAAACCTTAAGTTTATTTTTGTCTCTACGATTGTAATTTAATAATTGTAAAACTTGTTTTATGTTTGTTTAAACTTAAGTACCTTAAAACTTTTTTTGAATCAAGTTTATTTTTTGTCTGCTTTACAATTGTATTTAATGTTTAATTGTAAAACTTGTTTTAAAACTTGTTTTGTAAAACTTGAAACTTTTTAAAAAAGGTTTATTTTAATTAAATTACAATTGTAATTTAATGATTGTAAAACTTGTTTATACTTAAAACTTTGTTTTGAAACAAGTTTATTTTTTGTCTATTTTACAATTGTAATTAATTTTAAATAATTGTAAAACCTTAAAACTTTAATTTCAACTTTTGTTTTATATTTTTATTTGACAAACTCCCCACCAAACTTTAAAATAAATTTCAAAATGTCAACAACAAATTGTAAAAATATTTCGAATGCCTTTTAATAGATCACCAAAAAATTTTCTTTGTCCATCCACACATTCATCCTATTTTCCCCCTTTTTTCTCCCCATTCATCATCCTTCGACGGCGCGCTCCCCCCAATCTAAACTTTTTTCTATTTACATTTTTTAAAAATTTTTTTTTGCTTTTTTATTTTCCGACCTTTCTTTGTGTCCAGTCATTTCTAAACTTTTTTTCCTTTAGCGCAGCATTTTAAAAATTCCTTTCTTAAAAAAATTTTATTTTGTAAATAGGAGATAGAACAGCTTGCTAATATTTATTTAAATTCTTTGGCCTTTAAAAATCTTTTTTATTAAATTTTGCTTTTTACATAAATTAACTTTGAGGCATCTGAAAGGGGAGTATTTTATGGTAATTACAAATTGTAAAAATAAGTTTATTTATTTTTACAATTGTAAAAGTTAGTTTATTTATTTTTTACAATTTGTAAAAAAATGTTTATTTATTTTTACAAATTGTAAAAAAAGTTTATTTATTTTTACAATTTGTACAAATAGGTTTATATATTTTTTACAAATTGTAAAAAATGTTTATTTATTTTTACAAATTGTAAAAAATAAATAAACTTGCTATGTAAAAACCTGTTCTTCAAGTTTTTGTTTTTAAAACTTGTTAATTTTGTTAAAACTTTTCCAACTTTTATTAATATTTTCAGCTTCAAGTTTTAATAATGCTTTAAGTTTGATTAATGCGCATATTGCTTCTAGATATTTTTTCCTTCTACTTAGTTTTTTTTTCTTTTTTAAAAATTTTTTTCCAACTTTTTTAATTCTTGTAATTTTTATTTTTTTGATTTCTTTTTTTATTCCTTCGAGTCTATTAATTTAATTATTTTAATAATTTAAAAATTTTATTTACTCTCCTTAATATTTTAAGTTTTCCAGGTACCTAATTTATCCCCCCTCCTCTCCCCTCTCATAATTAATATAATTTTTATTTGTATTTTACTCAAAAAAAATTTTTTTTCTTTCTTATTTTTTCTATTTTTAGCTTTAATCTCTTCAATAAATAATCCAATTTGTTTGATTTTCTTTAATTAAAATTTTTCTCTGATTTTTGAATCTGCTTAATCATTTGTTTACTCAACTCATTTTAAATTTCTTCCATTTTTTTCTATTTTTTCCTTTAAAATATTAAATCGAAAATGTAAATGTTTCAGAAATCTAAATTCAATTTTCCAACTTGAAACTTTTTTATTTTAATTTTTCCTTAGCCAAAATCCGCAAAGTTTGTTCAAAAATTTTTTGTCCGCAAAATACTAAATTTTTTTTAAATTTGTCAAACTTTTTCATTTCATAAAAACATCATAAAATAAATAACACACGCCATTCTTACGCATCAATTCACTCATAAAAGTGCTAAGTTTTTTTCTATTTTTTTAAAAAACATTTCCTTGTCCCTCAACTCACTCAAGCGGGTTTTAATAAAGCTGTGCACACTTTTAATGCATTTAAAATTTTAAATGTACTTTCTCTTTAATTTTCTATTAATTTACGGAAAAATTTAAATTCAATTTAAAAAAAAACTTCCTTATTTTCCCTTATTTTTATTTTTTTTATTTAAATACCCGTAAATTAAACACACCGACCGAGTTATTGCCAACTCCCATAACTTTTGACTGAATAATCCTTTCTGGATTTTCTTTGCACCATTCGATAGAGGAGAAAATTTGCTACATGATGGAGTTTAAATTTTAATTTTATCTTTGTTGTGAAAAAAGTTATCTTCAAAAAACTGACACACACCGACCATGCTATTGCCAACTCCTATAACTTTTGAATGAATAATCTTTTCTGAATTTTCTTTGCACCATTCGATAGAGGAGAAAATTTGCTACAAAATAAAGTTTAAATATTAATTTAATCTTTATTAGAAAAAAAATTATCTTCAAAAAACTAAGCAGACATCGAGCATTTTTCAGTTACACACATGTAGTTTTTCGACTACAACTTTTTTTTATTCTTTATTAAAAATTAAACTTTTTCCCCTATTTTATAGCTTATTTTCTGCTTTATTTAATTATGCAAAAATTAAATTAAAAGGGTTGGGAATTATTAGATTTTTTGACTTGGCGTTAAAAGTGGTTTCTAGGCGAAAATATACCCATAAAATTAAATACTATAAATTCTATTTAAAATAGTTTTTTTCTATTTTTCTGAATTTTTTAAAATAATTTCTTCTCTTCATTTTTTCAACATAGGTATATTTTCTTCATTTTTTAACATTTTAATCTTTTTTTTTAATTTTATTCCTCTCCAAAACGTAGCTAATCACTTGACTAATAAATTACTTTAAAATGATTAAAAAAATAAAATAAATAGGTAATTATTTATTTTTTTATTACAAAACAGTCTGTAAATTATTTTTTATCGTTTTTATAAAGGAAAAAAAAATATTTAAACATTTTTCCTAATAAAAAAATTTTTTTTAATTTTTTTTCAATTTTTACTTTATTTACAGTTTATTTATTTACTCTTCCATCTTATCTTAATATCAAAATACAAATATATTTTTTAATGTTTAATCATTCATTTTTTATTCTGTTCAACTGTGCTACACTATTTTCTAAAATAATAACTGCTTTTTTAGCTGATTAATTTAATATTTGTTTTATAAAAATAAAATATTTTTAATCCGCAAATATAAGTTGCGGACAAACTTAGATTTCAAACTTTTTAAGTTTTAATAAAAACTTAAAACTTGAAGCATAGAAAGTTTATTTAACTTAAGTTCGAACTTAAAAACTTATTTTTACTTTAAAACTTTTTAAGTTTAAGCTTAAAACTTATTTTACTTAAAACTTTTAAGTTCAAACTTAAAACTTGTTTGTAGTTAAAACTTTTTAAGTTCAAGCTTAAAACTTGTTTTTCTTTAAAACTTTTCAAGTTTGAACTTAAAAACTTGTTTTTAAATAAACTTAAAACTTGATTAAAACAAACGAAAGGAAACTTAAAACTTGAAGCAAACTTAAACAAGTTTGTGCATTTTCACAAACTTGAAGCATTTTTCTAAACATTTGTCTGCAATTTTTCTATTTTATTATCTGCAAATATTTGTGATTAATAAATGGCTTTTTTTTATTTTTTCAGTATTTTAATGCCTAATGTTATAGACTAATAAGCAGCTTAGAAAAAAATTTTTGTTACACTTTTTAAATATTTAATGATTGATTTTTCTTTTTATATTATACATTTGTATTAATCAGCAGACGTTAAAAAAAATTTTTTTAACATTAAATTAAAAATATTTTTTTATGTTTTGCTGTTTTGTTAGTTACCATAATTCTTTTTTACTTTTAATTTAGTTTTGCTTCAGCTTTTGGGTTTTTTGCTTCATTTTTTAGCTTTCTTTTTGTTTTCCTTTTTTGCTTCATTTTTAGGGTTTTTATGTTTCAAGTTCTTACTTTCTGACTAATTTTTTGAACTTGCTTCAGCTTTCGTTTTTTGCTTCAATTTTCTTTTTTTTTTTTGCTTCAGTTGCTTCAGTTTTTTTCGATTTTTGACTATAATCCTTATTAATATCTCATCATTTTTTCCCAATCAAATTAATTTTAAATTTTCTCTTATAGACTCTCAAACCTCTCAAAAACTTTGTTTAATCTACCCCTAAGTTTTCTGGCTTCTTTGCCTTCTCAAAACCTTTTTTTCTTTTTTAGAGTGTGACAGCCGTTTATACAAAATATATATTTTATATTCCCCATTCCCTTTTCTTTTTACATTTTCTTGCCATTAAACTACTAAACAATTTTATATAAAGCCTATAGCAGCTATTCTGCCAGATGGGCACACAAAGGGAAAAAGATTTTATTTTCCATCCATCGACTTTTTTTATATAAAATTTCTCTCTACCCCTCTTTACAAATTGCCAGAGAGAAAGGAAAAAATTTTTTCTGACAGACGCGCTTAAATAAATTTTTTTCCTTTTTATTTTTAAAGAAAATAGAAGGGAGAGAAGCTCTTTTGTTTTTAAAAAGCTTCGTTGTTTTTATTTTATATGGAAAATGTTCGCAGGTTTTAAATATAAATAAACTTGAAGCAATTACAAATTGTAATAGTCAACAAGTTTTATATTTTCCCTTTTAAAAAATAAATAGGGATAAAACTAAACTTTAATTACAATTTGTAATTGCTTCAAGTTTATTTTATTTTTACAACTTTGTTTTGTAACTTTGTTTAAAACTTTTTTTGAAACAAGTTTATTTATTTTATTTTAATTTCAAGTTTATTTATATTACAATTTGTAATTGTTTCAAGTTTATTTTTAAAACTTGTTTTGAAACTTTTTTTAAAGCAAGTTTATTTATTGTAATTTCAAGTTTATTTTTTATTACAATTTGTAAAACTTTGTTTTTTCTCTTTTATGTTTTGCTTAAGTTTGTTTTTGTTTTTGAATTTAATTTCAAGTTTATTTTTCCTATCATTAGTTACCTATAATTGTAATTGTGTTTTCACCGTCTCTCTGCTTTCTCCTATCATTTATTGTCTATCCATTTTTAAATCACAAGTTTCCTCAGGCTTACTAGGACTTTTCCTTTCCTTTCTTCACGGGATATCTCCCCTTCCCCCTTAAAACCATGCGACTAGACTGATATTTCCTCTTAATTTCATCTTAATTGTCTGTTAAGTAAAAGAAACGTGTTTTAATGTTTGCAATTTTCTATATTAGTCTCTAGCTGCTTTTTATTATAATTTTTTATAATTTGCTTCTGTTAATTCATATTAAGCAAGAATTAAAATTGTTAGCATGTTTCAAGTTCTATTTTGTTTCAGGTCTTATTTCATTTACAAACTTGTTAAAAACAAAACTTGAAGCAAAACTTGCAACAAAATTTTACAATTGTAAAACAAGTTTTAATATTTTTTACAATTTGTAGTTTTATTAAAATTGTATTTGCTTTTCTAGTAAATGTTTCAACTTTATTTTTCAACTTTATTTTCCAACTTGAAGCACACCTTTTAGTTAATCTCTTTATTTCAGTCTTTATACTTTACCAGACACAAATTCCTTCTTTTTTATTTACTTTAAAAAAATTTTTTTTAATTTATTTAATTTTATTTCCATTTTCTCTTTAAAATCCTTTTTCCCATCCCTTCTTCTAAAAATCTTTTAAAAATCTCTTTTTTTAGAAATTTTTTTCAGTCTTCTATACTACGTAAAAAGCCTCTTTCTCCCCCTCCTCTCTCATTTTTCCTTTAAAACACAAACAAAATTAAAAAATCCATCATTATGAAAGCTTATATGTCTTTAAGCTAGTAAAATTTCCCCCTTTCCTTCCATTATAGCTTTTCCTCTCCTTTTAATTTTTCTACACATTTTTTGTTCTCGCCCTTATATTTTTTTAATACTTTTTCTCCTTTTGTTTCACTTCCGACGCGTTTTGGAAATTGATCCACATCCGCCAAAAAAAAATTTTTTTTCAGACGTTTCTTTTCGATTTTTTTCTTCTTTATATTGACTTGAAGAGCTTTTTCTCGTTTTATTAATCTATCAATCTTCCTCTTTTTTTCAAGTCAAAACAAAAATGAAAAGTAAAACGAGAGGATTATTATTGTCAATTATTTTAAGTTAAAGGAGCTTTTTTTAGTTTTAATTTTAGGGGAAACCGGAAGTTACGTTATACCTCTTTATTAATTGTCCTCCCTAAATAATTATCAAATTTCTATTCATACACCCCGCTAACGATCGGAGGTGGGTCGGAAGAGGTGTCGGAAATCAGAAGAGTCGGAAATCGGAACTGACTCAAAAGTCGGAACTCGGAAATAAAAATTTTTCGGAAATCGGAATTCCGACCCACCTCTGCTAACGATGAATCGAAGCAGTAATCGGGGCCCTTATCAAATGCCTTACTACCTACATGTTCAAATTTTAAATCTCGGACAAATTGCCCTCCCTCGATTAATTACTCCCTCTAGCAGAAGGTCGAAGCAAGAATTACCCAGGGTTCAAGGAGCTACGGAAATTAATAAAAATTCTCTATTTATTCTATTTTTTAAACATAATTTTACTTTTTTATCTTATTTTGTAGCCTATTTTCTCCTCTTTCCAACGACACCAAACTTGGCTAAATATGTCCAGTTACTCTTGTGCTATTCTGCTTAGACTTAGGTGTTCCTTAAATTTTGCCAAAAAATTTTTTATTAAAATATCTAATTTCTCAAAAAATTTTGAAACAAACAAAAAAAAATTGTTTGGGAATCAGATGTCATAAAGATGACGAAAAATTTTAAAATTATTGCTTAAGAATATTTGCGCGCTATCGCTTCTTTTTTTGGCCACATTTTCAAGGCTACTTTTAATTTTTCTCTTTAAATATTTTTGCTACTTCACTTTTCATCATCTTACTTTTTAATTTTTTTTTATTTTATATTTATTTTATATTTTTATTTTTAATCTTAATACCTCTTAGAAAAATTTATTTTCTGATTATTTGTATTTTTTCCAGAAATTAATTTACCCAATTTTATGACGTTTTTTTGTTCTCTCTTTTACTCTCTCTTCTTCTCTTTACGCCTTCAACTTGAACTTGTTTTTAATTACATAACTCTTGAATTAATTAACTGTTTGACAAACTCTATATATCATTCGATAGAGAATTAAATTGTCTTTTAAAATAAAATATTATTCATTAATTTTGATTTGTTGTAAAAAAAGCTGTGGGCAAAAAACTTGCATAAATTCGCTCATTTTCGCTCGTTTTTCTATTTTTTAATAAAAAAAAATTTTTTTAATTAATCGTATTTTGTTCTCTCTCAAATATTTTTTTGCGATTTTTGAAAAAAATTTTTTAATTAAATTCTTGACTTGTATGATAATTGTTCTTTCTCTTTAAGTGATTCATTTTTAAAGCTCTAAAATAAATTCCCCTTCAAACTTTGTTTACCTTCAAAATTTATTTTAATCCATTTTTGAGAGTCATCATAAAAAATTTTTTTTTAATTGAAAAATTAATTTTTTAAAACTTTTTAAAATTTTCTGTCCTTTACAAACGTAACATTAAATTTTCAAAAAAATCATAACTTTCCCTCAACTTTAATTTTTCTACTATTTTAAGTTGATTTTTATATTGAGAGGAAATATTTAAAAAATTAATAAAAATTTTAATTCTACCTTGAAAAAGTGTCCGATATCCGTTTTATGCCTATTAGGCTCTTCCTTTCTCGAATTATTTGTCAAAAAATTTTTTTTCAAGTTTTTATTACTTTTATATATATTTTGATCCGTAATAAAACATAAAATATTAATAAACTAAACAAAGTCAAAAGAAAAACTAATTTTCAAGTCATGCGTGTTGTCGTCTTCCCACCTACGCCGCCTATTTAAAAAAGACTGCCTACTATGACCCCAAAAATTGATAAAAATAACATAAAATAATTTAAAATGTATCGTCCAAAAAATAATTAACAATATTTTTTTATGTTTTTTATCTAAATAGTATATTGTTGTTTTATTTCAATGAAAAATTTTAAAAAATTTACTAATCAAATTTGTCTATTTTTAAATATTTTTTTGTGTAGTTATTAAATAAAAATGACTGTTTTTAAATGTATTTTCCCCTTATGTATTTTATAATTTATTAAATTGTATTTTCCGGAAATTTGTATTTTTGGATTGTATTTTCCGGATTTGTATTTTTTATGTACCTAAATGTATTTTTTTTGTATTTTCCGGAATGTTTAGGTTTATTTTTCCGGATCGTTATTATTTTTGTATTTTCCGGAAACTTAGGAAATATAAACTTTTTCCGGAAATTCTTTCATTTTGGTTTCTTTTATTTTCCGGAAACTTTGTTTTTACATATCATAAAACAAATATTTTTACTTTAATATTTATTTCCTTGTTTTTGATCTTGTTTATATTCACTTTATTGTTTATGCCACATGTTCTGCTCTCTACGCTTATCAGTTATTTAATTTTTATGACTTTTTTTTGTGTTTTTTTTAATTTTTTTTTAATTTTTTTCTTTATCACTTCATTATTTTTTCATTAAAATTTTAAAATTTTTTATAGAATAAAAAAATTAAATTTTAATGTCAAAACTCCCTGCTCCACCAGCCTCCTCAAAAAAGACAAAAGTTGTTGGAGGAAATATCAACAACGATAACAACATTGCCAGCACATTTAATAATTCTAATACAGGCTTCCTTAAACTCCCAGATGAACAAAGCAGTCACAGAAGGCTTTTAGCTAATGAACATCATTTAAAGGTGGATTAAAAATACATTTTTGTATTTTCCTAAGCTTTTATTATATTATGTGTTTTACTTTTCCGGATTTTTTTGTGTATTTTCCGGAAACATTTCTACACATTATTAGTTTTTCCGGAACTATCTATTTGTCTTTTCCGGAAATATTTTTTTGTATTTTAGTATTTTCCGGATTTTGTATTTTCCGGAAGCATTTCTACACTGCTTCCGGAAAATACACAACTGTCTATTTGTCTTTTATTTTCCGGAAATATTTGTATTTTAGTATGCTCCGGAAATATTCGTATTTTGTATTTTAGTATGCTCCGGAAATCTTCATTTCTAATCCGGAATTTTAATTTATCCGGAAATTATTTTGATGTTGTATATTTTCCGGAAATATGTTTAGTATTTATTTTTAATTTTCCGGAAACATTTGTATTTCAGTTGTATTTTCTTTTTTTTCCGGAATGTATTTTCTTGTATTTTTTCTCTAAAACTTGTATTTTAGACAAATGGTCGTCGTCGGAATAGAAGCAGTTCCCCTTCACCTGATATAAATAATGATGAAGAGGATGATGAGGACGCTGAAGAGGAAGAAGATGAAATCGGTGATCTTCGAGTTGGAAAACTAAAAACAAATGGAAGTAGAGTAATGTTTAGCAATAATAACAGCAATTCTTTACGGCCAAATCTCTTGGAGGAAGGGGAGAATGGGTTAACTAATGGATCTAGTAGTGATATGATGGTGAGGAAGATAATATTTTTTGTTCTGATTTTATGCTGAATTCTGATTTTTTCTGATTTTACATTTCAGAATAAATTCTGATTTTTTTTTATTTTTAAAATAAATTCTGAATTTTTAGGATATTTCTGATGATGATGGTCGAGAAGGGTGGGATAATAAAATGCAATTTTTCATGGGAGTGATATCCTATGCTGTTGGATTTGGTAAATTAAATTGATAAAATTATAAAAAAAATTTATTTTTCAGGAAATGTTTGGCGCTTTCCTTTTTTGTTACAAAAGAATGGAGGCGGCGCTTTTCTAATACCTTATCTTATTGTAGGGGTGTTTAAATAAAATATTTAATTTTATTATTGTTTAAGATGATGGTAATTGAAGGTGTTCCTCTTTTCCTTATTGAACTTGGAATTGGGCAAAAATTGAGAACAGGACCTGTGGGCGTTTGGAATGCTATACATCCATATCTTGGGGGTAAACTTTAAATGTTTATTTAATTAATTACAATTTCTGATTTAACCAAGTTTTACAAATTCTGATTTTTTAAAGCATAATTCCTATCAAGTGTTAAGTTTATTTTACAAATTCTGATTTAATTTTACAATCTCAAATTCTGATATCAAGTTTTAAATTTAAAAATTCTGATTTTAATTTTTACAAACTTTAATTCTGATTCTTTTAATTTACAAATTCTGATTTAACCAGAATTTACAAATTCTGATTTTTAAATTAAGTTTACAAATTCTGATTTAAACAGAATTTTACAAATTCTGATTTTATTTCTACAAAATTTAATTCTTGTTTTCTTTCAAGTTTTAAGTTAGTTTCACAAATTCTGATTTTTAAATTAAGTTTTAAGTTTACAATTTCTGATTTAATTTTACAAACTTTAATTCTGATATCAAGTTTAAAGTATAAAACTTAATTTTACAAATTCTGATTTTACACTAAATATTTTACAAATTCAAGTTTACAAAAATAATCTTTTTTAAAGGTGTTGGTGTTTCAGCAGCAATAGTTTCCTACTTAGTTTCCCTTTACTACAATGTTATTTTAACTTGGGTATTCTACTACCTATTTAAATCTTTTAGTTTTGAACTGCCTTGGATTGTGAGTTTTTTTTTGAGGGAAAAATGTAGTATTTTTTATAATTTTTAAAGAATTGCCCAAAATTAGCAAATGGTTCTAATATAACAGAATGTGTTCAGTCTTCTACCCCTGCAAATTATTTTTGGAATAGAGAAGCTATAAATACTTCTGAGTTTAAAAATTTTTGATTAAATTAATTGAAAAAAAATATTTTTTAAAGTTCAATCGGTGATTTTGGTGGATTTACTTGGCATATGACTTTCTGTCTTGTTTTTGCTTGGTCTGTAATTTACCTGTGTGTAATGCGTGGTATTAAAAGTAGTGGAAAAGTTAGCGGATTTTTTAAACTATAATTTAAAATTCTGGTTTTGTAAAAATTAAATTCTGATTCTTTTCCAAGTTTTAAATTTACAAATTAATTTACAAATTCTGATTTCAAAAACTTTTTTGTAAAACTTAAATTCTGGTTAGGTTTATTTTACAAATTCTGATTTTTATAAATTTACAAATTCTGATATCAAGTTTTAAGTTTACAAACTTAAATTCTGATTTATTTATTTTACAAATTCTGGTTTACAAATTCTGATTTTTTAATTCTGACTTTTTAAAACAATTCTGATTTCCCATCAAGTTTTAAGTATATTTTACAAATTCTGTTTTTTTAAAACTTAACTCCTATCAAGTTCTAAGTTTATTTTACAAATTCTGATTTAATTTTACAATTTCAAATTCTGATACTAAGTTTTAAGTTTTTACAAATTCTGATTTTTTTTTACAAAATTAAATTCTAGTTTCTCTTCCAAGTTTTAAGTTTACAATTTTTCCTTTTCCACAAATTCTGATTTTATTTCACTAATTTTCAGGTAATGTACTTAACCGCTACTTTTCCTTATTTTGTGCTCACTGCATTTATGTTCCGCTCAATTTTATTGCCTGGGGCTACTGACGGTCTTAGATATATGATAACGCCGGATGTGAGTTTTCTTTTGTTATTTAGAGGATATTAGGGATTTTTTTTATTTTTATTAGATTTTTCTCATTATTTTTTATTAGGGATTTTTTTAAAATTCAAAAAAAATTTCAAAAATTTTCAAAAAAAAAATTTCTGACATTTTTCAATTTTTTCAAAAAAAAAATCAAAATTCTTTTTAATAAAAAATCTAGAAAATTGTAGTATTTTTAGAGCAATTTTTGGCCATTAAAAAAAGGCCGCGCCAAATTGTTTGTTGTTTGAATCAACCAACTCTTCCACTTTGGCCATTCTTTTTTCCTCTCCCTTAATTGTTTTGCTTTATTTTTCCTTTTTATTTTTAAAAATAATTGGATATTTTAGTAATTTAATTTTTAATTAAAAATTAAAGAATCTAATACATTGAATTATTTTTTTAAAATTAAATTAAATTAGAAGTCCAATTATTTTTAAATATTTATTTATCTATTATTCAAATTTTATCTCCTTTTTTCAACCTAGAATCTCAATAATATTTTATTTTTATTTTATTATTTTTATTTTTTTTTGTTTTTTATTTATCGTTTCTCTTTAATATATTTATTGTAAATTGTTTAATTACACATTGTAAATTGAATTTACATTTTCTTTGTTTTTACAAATTCTGATTTTTTTCTCAAGTTTTAATTTTACAAACTCAAGTTTTTCATAATTATTAAAAATTCTGATTTACTTTCAAGTTTACAATTGTTGTATATTTTACGTTTATTTTGTAAATTGTTTTCTTATTTCTTCAATTTTTTCCTACGTATTATTCATTCTTGCTCTCAGCTTCTTCATGTGCTTTTTCTATAATCCTCATTTTTTTACCCCTATGCCTTTATATTGTTTTCTAAATTATTATTTGTAATTTTGTTACTTGTCCAAAATCATTCCAGCTTCTTTTTTCCCTCATTTAATTGTAAATTTATTTTCCCTTTTTTGTTTTTATTAAATGCCAAAGTGGTCACAATGCGCGTTTCTTCGGGTCATTTTTTGGAAATTAAAAACACACAAATTGACTGACCCGGAGAGATATTTTAAAATTCTCTCATTTTTGGATTGAACACGTTCAGGTATTTAAAAAAATTTTTAATTATTGCGTTGCGATTTTTCAAAATAAATTTTTATTTTTGAGGCATTTTTTTGGATTTATTTTTTTTGATTTAATTAATTAAAAATATTTTTTAATTAATTAAATTTATTTTTTATTTTTTAAATCTAGATTAAGTCCTCTCCAAATTATTTTTTTAAATTTTATTTTATTTTGACGCTTTTTCGGAGATATTTTTTTTCAAAAAAGGTTCTTGTCTAAATTTTTTGTAAGATAAATTTTTAAACCCTAGCAAATTTTTAAACCCCTTTTTAAACCTTTATCCTCCCTAGTTTTATTTTTTTCTCCTTGCTAGCTTGGAAAAGTCCAAAAAAATTTTTAATTAAAATTTTTTCAATCCTTTAGCTTTCACGTTTATGGGAACCTGATGTATGGTTAGACGCTGCTACACAAATTTTTTATTCTATGGGTCTAGGATTTGGAGGTATTTAATTTAATTTAAAAATCAAAATTAATTCAAATTTTTAAAGGATTAATAGCTTTTGCTTCCTACAATCCAGTCAAAAATAATTGTAAAAAGGATGTCCTCAAAATGTCTTTAGCCAACCTTTTAACTTCTCTCTACACAGCTTTTGTTATTTTTTGTGTTTTGGGATATATGGGAAGAAAAAATTTTAATTCCTGTATTGAAAAGGATATGTCGTTAATTCTTAAAGTTGCTCCAGGACTTTATAAAAATATGGAAGAAATTAATGGAAATATTACTATGGAGGAGTAAGCGTTAATATTTTTATGTACCTGTGTTTTTCCGGAATATTTATTATTTTTAACTACTTTTCCGGAAATATATTTATTTATTTTAAATTACGTGTTTTTCCGGAATTTTATTAATATCATTATGTATTTTCCGGAAATATATTTATTTTAAATTATGTGTTTTTCCGGAAATAAATTATACTCACATCATGTTACGGAATCTTTATTATTTCTCAACCTTTCCGGAATATTATTAATTAATATTTTGTATTTTCCGGAAAGTTTATTTTATTTTTCCTATATTGTATTTTTCCGGATTTGTATTTATTAATATATTTATTTCCCTCACAGATTCACCTCATACATGCAATTTGATTTCCGTGACAGTAAATTTTCTGAAATTATTAACCATCCATCTTACAAAAAATGTGAACTTGGAGACATTATATCTGAAGTACTTTAAAATTAATTTTTATTTTTTAATTAAAACTTTTTTATAGGCAGCGGAAGGCACAGGATTGGCTTTTGTTGTGTTTACCGAAGCAATTAGTCAATTTCCATTTCCACCGTTTTGGGCTATTTTATTCTTTTTGGTGAAAAAAATAATTTTTTATTTAAAAATATTTAAAAATAATTTTTTAGATGCTTATGATGCTTGGTCTAGGCTCTATGTTTGGCACATTAGAGGGAGTAATCACATCACTTAATGATGCTAAAATGATTAAACTTAGTCAACCTATGCTTTCTGTAATTTAAAAAATATTTTTAATAAAAAAATGACTTTTCAGTTATTAATTTGTGCATCTTCCTGTCTTATTGGACTTGTGTTTACTACACAAGCTGGACAAGTAATATTTTCCGGAATATTTTATACAGTCGTGGAAAAAAGTATGGAAGCGCTAGAAAATTTTCTCTTAATTTTTAATTTTTCATTCAAAAAATACGTTCTATATACCAATCGAAAGCTCTATTCGTATCTCAGTTGACATGTTTCTGTATTTTTCATGAAAATGAAAATTGGCCGAGATAATCCGGATCTACCGGATATACCAAATCCCACTTTTTCGGAAAAATTTTTCGGAACAAATTTAACAAACCCAAATGATAAAGTATATTTTTCTGAGTATTTTCCACAAAACCGCTTAGAAATATCTTTTTTCGGAGCAGAGATATGATTTTTTGAAAATCGCATTTTTCGTCAATTTTTGCAAAATTTTCAATTTTTAAGGGAAAAATGCGATTTTCAAAAAATCATATCTCTGCTCCGAAAAAAGATATTTCTAAGCGGTTTTGTGGAAAATACTCAGAAAAATATGCTTTAACATTTGGGTTTGTTAAATTTGTTCCGAAAAATTTTTCCGAAAAAGTGGGATTTGGTATATCCGGTAGATCCGGATTATCTCGGCCAATTTTCATTTTCATGAAAAATACAGAAACATGTCAACTGAGATACGAATAGAGCTTTCGATTGGTATATAGAACGTATTTTTTGAATGAAAAATTAAAAATTAAGAGAAAATTTTCTAGCGCTTCCATACTTTTTTCCACGACTGTAAATATATTTTTCCGGAAAATAATACTATTATTTGATTACAATTTCCGGAATGTTATAATCAATTTCCGGAAAGCTGAATTTTCTGTGAAAGAAATTTCCGGAAAATTAAAATTATTTTCCGGAAGGTTACAAGTATTTTCCTGAATTTATAATTATTTTCCGGAATTTATACTTCTCCGGAAAATTTAAATCATTTTCCGGAAATTTTATATTTAGTTTCCGGAAAGTTACATGTATTTTTCGGAAACTTTTCCGGAAAATACAGAAAAATACATATTATTGTCTATTACAATTTCCGGAATTTGATAGTATTTTCCGGAAAATTAAAATTGTTTTCCGGAAGGTTACGTATATTTTCCTGAATTTATAATTATTTTCCGGAATTTTATATTTAGTTTCCGGAAAGTTATATGTATTTTCCGGAATTATTTTTGGAATTTTTTTATTGTTAAATATACTTTTCCGGAAAATACATAGTATTATTATCTATTGCAGTTTCCGGAATTTGATAGTATTTTCCGGAAAGTTACAATTAAAATATTGTATTTTTTCAAGTATTGGGTATCAATGTTCGATCACTTTGCCGGAACTTATGCATTAATGTGTGTTGCCTTTTTTGAAGTAGTTGCTGTAATTTATGTTTATGGATGTGATAATTTTGTAAGAGATCTTCAATATATGTGTGATGAACAAATTGGGAATTTTTGGGTAATTTTGGGAGGGGAATTTAATTTAAAAAATTTAATTTTCTCCAGAAAATTACTTGGCGTTTTATTTCCCCAGTTATTATGTTTGTTATTTTTGTTGCTTCAATTTTCAAGTCATTCACTAAAGTGCCTGAATATTCTGCTTATGATGCCTCTACGGTAATTTGGGAAAGAAGCAAATTTTTTGAAACTTAAAAAAATTTTTAGACTCATCAACATTTAGAGCCTTATCCAACCTGGGCTCTTTTTATTGCTTTTGGTGTGTTTTTTTTATTAAAAATTTTTCCTCATATTTTTCCTTTAATTTCTAGGCCTTGTTGTAATTGCAATGGCCCCTGTCCCTTTTATTTGGTTCGTTAGGAAATTTAGAATTTGGAGTGTTGAGGCTGACATACCTGTGGTAAATTGATTAATTTAAATTAAAATAGAATTTAATTTTTAAAGGCCTCAAAATGTCTTGGAGCTACAGCTTCAACTACTTATATGCTTAGAAGCGAAATGTCGTTTAATCGAATTTTGGAATCTGCTAATGCAGCTGAGCTTAGAAATATTGGAAAGAATGGGCGAAATATGGGAAGGAATGGGTAGGTGTTTTTGTATTTTATAGGTATATTTGTATTTTCCGGTTATATTTGCTAGATATGTGTTTTCCGGTTTTTTTTATTTTGTATTTCATCAATTGTATTTTATATTTCCGGATTTCTTAAGTATTTCCGGATACTTATATTTATTCCGGAAAAGTTCTATTTTTCTCTATAAGTATTTGTATTTTCCGGATGTATTTTTGGTTTAGTTGTTTTCCGGTTATTTTGATTCTATCAACTGTATTTTATGTTTCCGGTTTTCTATTTAATATTTCCGGAAAATTATATTTTTTAATTTGTATTTTATCTTTATTTATTTTCTATTTTTTAGTCATATTGGTGGCGGTTCAGCCCCTGTTTCAAGCAAACACAAACATCAAACCCATGATTTTGATTATCATCAATTACCCTATAATAACCAGCACCATACTTGGCACAGTGGAAATGCCCCTCCTAAACATAAATATGCTCAAAGTCAAATGCAGAAGGCAAAAAATTTTAAATTTTATTTAAAAAATAGGGGAGAAATGCTTCAAAATTAATTTTAACTTTACCAATTTTAATTCTAAAAAATTTCTTTTTCGATTATTTTGTAGCCCTCTTTCTCCTCTATTTTTTACTTTTTAAATTAAATTTTTATCTTTTCATTAAAAAAAGTTATAGCCATTTACCTAACCCCTATATCTCTTTCAGAAAGGCTCAGATACAGATTTACCTTCAGCTACAAAATCTGTTGATACAACAAATAAAAAAAGAAAAGGAAATGGAAATTCTACAGGGAATAGTTTAAGTAACAGTATCAATAAAGCAAAAAAAGCATTTTTAGCTGATGGTTTCGTTCCCCGTTCAAATACTTTAAGTGCTCAACATTCTATGGATTTGGAAAAACAACAACAAAGTTGGACGCGTAATCGACACAAATCTTTTGAAAAATAAGAGAGAATAAATTTTAGAATATTTTTAAAATACATATATATTTTTCTGTTGTGCCAACGGGTCATTCATTCCCTGATCCTTTAAAAATATTTTTTTATTTTTTCAATTTAATTATTATTTTTCAATTTTTCAATTTAATTATTTAATTGTATTTTCCGGATGTATTTTTGTATTTTCCGGTTAGATTTTTATATTTTTCCGATAGTTTTTCTATACATATTATATTTTCCAGATGTAATATATACTTTTCCGGAAAACTTATAAGTATATGGCTTCCGGAAAAACATGTAGTATTTAATTTTATAACTATAGTTTAAATACTTTGAATACCTTTACGGAGGCTTTCTTGAAGAATAGTATTTTTAAAATTTATATATATTTATTTTTCTTCCCTTTGTGTTTTTTACCCCATAATCAAGGCATCTCGTATCGAGTATTTTACATTATTTTTTAAAAAAGGTGAAATATTTTTTAGTTTAAAATTTCTTTTTCTTCATATTAATTCATTCCTTTGTGCATTTTAAAGTCTTTATTTTTTAAGAACAAATTTCAATTTAAATAATTCAAGTTTCCACGAATTAAGATAAATTAGAAGAGTACATTTTTTGGTATTTTTATGGTGCATATTAATTGGAGATTTATCTCAGAAAAAAATTATTTTCCCTCTAGCTTTTTAAAAATACAATCGAATCTCGATATTATTTCCTTCCCCTTATTACGTCAGTATAAGCAGAGTTCAGTTCATTTAGGTCCCGAATGTGTCGTCTTATCGAGTTTCGACTATATTTATTAGCTTAAAATTTTTTGAGGAAATTGGAATTATTGGATGATTTTTAGTTTATTTTTTTATATTTGTTTGACCTTTACTTTATTATTTACTGCTCAATATTTTGAGTTTTTTACAAATTTATATTTTTTTTTAAATATTTTTTTCATATTTTATAAACTTTCTGTTGTAACGGTGATTCCGTTGAGGTGAATAAAAATTTGACTTAAATATTTTTTGGCATATTCATCCAAGACAGAGACCAAATCAAGACGAGATTTCGCATAAAAATTACGATATTCGGAATCGAGATTTTTCGAGATATCTTTTCGCTTCTTGTATGACTCTCCCTGTCCGGTCTATAATTCAAACCTTTTGAGAAATAGAAATGAACAATTTAATGAAAAAATTTTTTTATATAAAATTCATTCAAAAAATCTTTAATCTTTGCACTATATAAAGATAATAAAATCAGAAAATTTATTTAAGACAAAAGTTTGTTTAGAATTTTAGATTTTTCAAACGTGTCTTTAATAAAATTTTTGTATTTAATAAGAAATGGGTCGAATATTGAAACCGACATATGTATATATGTGTTTTAGATAGCGTGTTTTGGTAGTTAATGTTTTGGATAAGAGAGACTCTCACCGGCCAGTCTCTATTTTTAAGGTAAATTAGTAATTATTTTAAAGCAAAATCCAGAACTTGTTTAAATTTAAAGAATTCGAAAATTAACATAGAAAATTTTTAAAAATTCCGTAGATTAACTTCGAAAAGAACTGAGAATCAAATATTGAAAAACCAACCCAAAAACCTCCTTAAAAATAGAAAACAGGGGCTAGGGCATTAAGAAGGCAGAAGGTGGGAAGAAGGGAGACGGGTTTTACAAGGAAGACGGGGGTTTTACAATTCTTTCTTCTTTTCAAAAATTCTTTTCATCTTTGGTGTAGCACTTCGGGTCCTTCACGTACGGATTTGTACACCGAGCTGACCCACTGGTAAGGCTTTCTATCCAAGCACAAAACGGAGCTACAGGTGTATAAATATCTGAAATTGATGTTTTTTAGTTTAAAATTAATTAAAATATAAATTGACCAGGAATTAAGTGGCGGCTGGGACTACCATCTTTATACATAGACATGACCCCATGTGTAAAAAAATTTACATGATTTATGTCCATATTCACTCCGGCCCCACTATCACCCTAAAATAAAAGTATTATTAAACGAATTTTCTTCTTTAAGGAAAAAATAATTAATTAACAGCAGAGAACAAGCTTTTTGACTGGTTAGGATTCAAGATCGATATACCGAATCTTGTTATCTAAGATTCTGGAATAGGTCACTGATCTCTCTCTTAAATAGAGAAACAAATGTATGTATATGGTAATGTCCAAAAATTTTATTTTACTTTTTTGGACACTATTTAATCATTTTTGTCCATGCTTTATAAAATGTAAATAGAAAAACCTTCAGCACTCCACTATTAGCACTTCCCGCACACAAACGTGCTTTTGCCTTCCATTCACTGGAAAAAAATATTAAAAATTAAAATTTTAATTTTTTGTTCTGATATTTGATTGTTTAAAATAAAAGTCTCTTAAATTTCTTTAAAATCCTTGACTAAGTACCTACTTTCGAAATTTCAAAATTTTTCATAAATGTTTCTGAAGTTATAAATTTTTCGGAAAATCAACATTTTTGGTCATAATTTTCGAAATTTCAGCTTAAAGATTCTTAGATTTTTGGTGAGCTTAGATAAAGATAGGAGAATTATTATAGCAAAATTTGATCTTTTTGGATAAGCAATTCACTGTTTTATAAGCTCATAAGCTCACGCCATAATAGCCTAGTCATTTAAAATTATTATTTTAAAAATAAAATACATACGCTCGGCAGCGTGCCCCTAATGCACCAATACCCGCCTCTGCCATTTGAACCGGTACTGCTCTTAATTTGTGATCGTGTGAAGAAGAGTGAGGATCTAAAAAATAGTTTTATTAAAAGAAATGTAAATTAAAAATCTTTCTAAATATAGTGAAGAATTTTTGAAGGAATGAATCTCGCTACTTCTCAGTCATTAACCCCCTTTTTATTCGAGTAATTTTGTCAGAAAACCGAAAAAAACTACCATGAAGACCATAGCCAACCAGAAGTTCAGAATGCATTTTCGCTGCATATGGATTATACAGACTTGCTAAACACACAGGTTCGTTTTCAATTTCCTTTAGTAACTAAAACAAGAATATACAAAAATACCTGAGGGAATACAAGAAGATAACTCTAAATATAACGACCAAGTATTTATCCAAATAAGTACCCCTCTATTAATTACCCCTACAGCCAAAGGTTGGAAAAAAATTACCCGTTTAAAAATAGTTTTAATTTTCTAAAATATACTTAAATAATTCCCCGTTTCTATTTATTACTTCATCTGTCGAGAAATTCAAGCAATAATTACCCAGGGTAATTATTGAAGAAAATACGGTAAAATCATTTCAAAAATATAAAAATATATACAGTGAGGTGCATATGTTTATGCCGCTTGTATAAAACATCATAAAATTTTTCAGGATCGGTCAATATGGACATTCTTGGTCTTAAAAAATAGCTTAAACGATAAATCAATTGACATCTTTCGGCATTTTCTTCAAATTCGACTTTTCGACCCCTTTTAGACTGGTCGAACGAACAGCCCATTTGCTGGATCTTTGGAAAAATTTTCTAGAATCTTGCTGATTTTATATATGATTCTCCGTAAAATTCTGAACAAAATGCAAAAAACCGCATTCGAAATGCTTCGGCCCGAACCGAGATATGATTTTTTGAAAATCGAAAAAAACAGCTGAAAACACCAAAAACTCGAAAAATAGCTATTTTTTCGATTTTCAAAAAATCATATCTCGGTTCGGGCCGAAGCATTTCGAATGCGGTTTTTTGCATTTTGTTCAGAATTTTACGGAGAATCATATATAAAATCAGCAAGATTCTAGAAAATTTTTCCAAAGATCCAGCAAATGGGCTGTTCGTTCGACCAGTCTAAAAGGGGTCGAAAAGTCGAATTTGAAGAAAATGCCGAAAGATGTCAATTGATTTATCGTTTAAGCTATTTTTTAAGACCAAGAATGTCCATATTGACCGATCCTGAAAAATTTTATGATGTTTTATACAAGCGGCATAAACATATGCACCTCACTGTATATTCTTCTGTAACATTTATTAAAAAGGACGAGATCTTGTTTAAGATTTTCGTAATTCTGCCCCCTTAGATCCCGGTTATTTGTAATTCTCGTGATTGCCCTGATCCTGATTATTTCAAGAAATAAAAAAACACTTTTAAGGGATCCAATAAATTTTACAAATTAAAATATTTACTTCTAAAACCATGATATCATATTCAAAAAGGTGGTTGTTGTTGGCATTCTCCTCGTATTTTGGATGGACGAAAAATTTTTTGATAAGATAAGTATATAATATAATATTCTTTCAGTAAAAACAAGTCGGAAGGATTGTACTCAACGTAGTTGGTCTTGTTAGAGTTCCGACAGCTGTAGAAATTATAAAAAGCGCAATGCGCTGATGAAATTGCAAACTTTGGAGCTAAATTTTAAATTTATTTTTAATATATTTTCACAGTAAGGATAATTAAATAAGGTAGGGCAGAATAAATTTAAGTAAGATAATATAATAGTGGGGAGTAAGGCAAAATCGGTTTCTGGGAGCTCTAAGACTGAATATAAAAAATCCCTGGAAATCCCGGAAATTTTGTTTGCCATTAAAAACTCTGGATTGCGGCAGTAAACGTCCTGTGCCTCAATCCTATCCCAATCAACAAATTAACCATTTCTAATCCTTTTTAGAAAAAATAACTTACCAATCAACTGTGCCGTGCAGAACTGTTCCCCGCATGAATTCCACCCCTTTAATTCAAAGACCCATGGCCATTTAGCCTCATCTGAAATATCTCCTCCCATTATCTTTAATTTTTATCCCTTTTTTAAATATAAAATTTTAACAAAACTCTTTGTTGACTGTCCGGGCGACGTCCACATTTCAGCTCACAATCATTTCCCAAAATAGAATTAATCAAAAATAAAACAATAGCGACAACAAGAATTTTGGGAGAATTCATTTTTGTATTTAATTAATAATTTTTAAATTAATTTTCTGAGTTAAATAAATTTAAGTTCCAGGAATATTATTAAAATTCAACTTTTAATAACTAAAATATTTTTATTTATTTTTATATAAGTCTTATAAAAATTAGTTCTTTTACAACCGTTTAACTCAACATAGATTTAATGATACTACAAAATTTTTAGAAAATCAAATCTTGCCTCTCGTCAATTTTCTCGAATCATGAATATAATTCCAAGATTATAGTTTAGTTGAGGTTGGGGACAAACGGATTTAGAATCTGATTCGGAGAGAGATAATAAAATGTTTTTGTGGACAATCTTGGGGCCGAAAACTTATATCTTAAAATGAATGTATGTTAAATAGAGGGTATCATATAAGGAGGGCATTTAAAAAGAGGGTATTTTATATAAAAAGTATCTTTTATAGAGTATAAAGCTGGAAAGATTAGGGGAGGGGGTGGATATAGAGGGGAGGATATAGATGTGATGAGGGAGGGCAAAGAGGGGAAAGCATTATAGAGAACATCATTTAAAAGCTACCACTACTACCCATCCATGCCTAATAGAAGCCCACTCGAGGGGTATTGGAATATGTAAGCCCAGAGCTGCTATTAGAATATTTACGGTATTTTTAAAATTTGATTAGCACTTTTATAAAATATTAAAGGTTAAAATATTTGTATATAATGATCGCTAAATGTAAGAAAATGCTTTTACCATTAGATATCAATAATTTTGATAAAGGTCATTGTACAATCACTGTGTAAACAAAAAATATATTTTTTGTTGATTATCAATACTAAAATATCTTTATTTGAGAGAATGTTAAATAAAATATTTTTTAGCTTCAAGGACGATGTATATCAGTTATAGATACCAAGAATGGTTGATCTCCCATCCCTGTCAATTTCCGTCTTTTTCTTGTTCCTCCGCTCTCGTATTCCGCTTTTTATTTTCTTCAGTTATTTTTAGTCTTAAGTCTTCCGCTTTTAATATCTACTGTCTATATTTTATAAAATCAGCTCTAATGTAAAGATCTCCCTCCACTTGAAACTTGTCAAAACTTAAGGGATTTGGTTTGGACCAGAATCTAGGAAGTTTCCGGGTTTTGTTTCACGATTGGTCTTACTCATGTATTAACCTCAATTCTTAAGGGGTTAATCACAATTCCAAATTTACTTTTTTTAAATAACAAATACTTCAATAATAATATAAATTTCTTTAAAATTTTGTTTTTTCTCCAAACTTAGAAAAAATTTTTATTTACTTAAATTAATAAGTTTTATATTAATTTTAAATATAATTAAATATGGCATGCAAAAAAATTAATTTAATGAAAATATTAAAAGCCTTAATAAAAAATAAAATTTAAAAATCAGTCCAATGAGAGACATTAATAGAGATTATCAAGGATATCTGACCATTCTGTACATTTTAAGTAAAAAACTTGGGGAGGAAAATGGGTGGGTACACTACAACTTACCGCCACCCAACCTACCGCCAACATTCCTCTTTGCGGCGGTTGGTCAGCGGTAGGTTGGGCGGCGGTAGATTGGCCTGCTCCTGGAAAAGGGGTCTAAAAACTTCATATTACAAAGCTTTTATAAAAATTACAAGATTGCACGTAATTAAATTTTTAAAAAATAATAAAATTTGGAATGTTTAGGATTTAAAATTAAAATTTGAGAAAATAAAAAATTGAAAGATTTTTGAGGGAAAATTATATAGAAAGCTGTTAAATAAAAAGTTTTTGAATTGTAAAATTGTAAAAACGGTTGATTTTTGTATTATACAAGTGCTTCTCTTCTTGGAGTTGTAAATGGACTTGGACGATAATCCTGTAAAAATAAATAAATAAATTTCTGAAAATATACTGATTTTTAAAAATTAAATTCTTATTTTTTATACTTAAATTCTGATTAAATTCTGATTTTTAATTTTATTAAAATTCTGATATTCTGATTTTTAAGTTTTAATTAAATTCTGGTTTTGTTTTAATTAAATTCTGATTTTCAAGTTTTAATTAAATTCTGGTTTTGTTCTAATTAAATTCTGATTTTGTTTTAATTAAATTCTGGTTTTGTTTTAAATAAATTCTTTTGTTCTAATTAAATTCTGATTTTCAAGTTTTATTTATAATTCTGGTTTCTAATTTTTGACATCGAATAAAAATTCGATTAAATTCTGATTTTTAAATTTTATTAGTATACTGATATTCTGATTTTATGTTTTAATTAAATTCTGATTTCCAAGTTTTATTTAAAATTCTGATTTTATTTTTCTAAATTCTGATATTTATTTAAATACCCACACTTTCACTAGTATCAGGACTATTTTGTGTATGTGTAATTATCGGCCCACTTCCTCCCATTTCACCAACACTTCCCACAGCAGCAGCCATCCAATGTTGAGAAGCAGAAGGGGATCTGGCGCCCATTATCGGGAATTGTTGTTGTTGTTGTCTAACAGAAATTGGGGGTTTTGATTGTTTTGATGTCCAGTCAGTTGATTCCTTTCCGCTTTAAAAAATTAAATTTTTTTCATAGAAAAATTTAAGGAGCCGAGGGAATTTTTCTGATTTTTTTCTGAAAAGTTCTGAAAAATTCTGATTTTTATTTAAATACTTTGTCAATTTTGTTTTTATTCCATTGCCAAGAAGGAGAGGTTTGTGGAGCATTAGAGAATCACCTAACCGAGAGGCGGCTCCGAAGTCGTTTCCACTGATACTGTAAGGGACACCTCCACGTCTGTAAGTGCCGGCTAGGGCAGATTCACGCTTTGACTTGGAAGAGAATCGGCGAAGAAGGAGACTGGAATTAATTTAATTCTGATTTTTAAATTCTGATTCAAGATTCTGATTTTTAAATTCCGATTTAAATTCTGATAATAATTCTGATTTAAATTCTGATATTTTATTCTGATTTTAAAATTCTGATTTTAAAATTCTGATTTTCTATTCTGGTAGTTAATTCTGATCTAAGATTCTGGTCTAATTTTTAAAAATTCTGATTTTTTGATTATAAGATTCTGGTTCTGAATTCTGGTGTTTAATTCTGATTTATAAAAATTCTGATTCACAATTCTGGTTTTAATTCTGGTTTTAAAAATTCTAATAATAATTCTGATTCATTATTAATCCGAATTATTATTAACTTACATCCAACATAAGAAGCAAGTCAATATCAAAAGAATTAAAGTAACTATAAGAAGCACCCCAAGAAGAATAGTCCAAGATTTGTAAAATACATTCTCCTATAAAAATTATTTTTTTTAGTTTTTCAAAAATTCCCAAACAGGTTCTTGTTTCCATTGTACAGGATCGTGTACACAAATAGTTTCATTAATAACCCCATATTCACAAAAACGACAATTATCAACTTGTAGTCTGTTAGCATCGTGAAAGCGACAGGCGAAATAACGTCTCTGTTCAGATTCACAAATCTTTTTTATAATATTAAATTTAAATAAACTTTTTTTACAATTTGTAAATTCTGATTTTTATTTGTAATTTTATTTGAAAATTCTGATTTCTAGTTTTATTTTTTATTTGTTTAATTCTGATTTAAAATTCTGATTTTTAGGTTTTATTTCAAGTTTGATAGAAAATAAACTTTAGATCAGAATTTACAATTGTAAATTCTGATTTAAAATTCTGTTTTTTTAATTCTGATTTCTAAGTTTTAATTTCAAGTTTAATAGAAAATAAACTTGAAATCAGAATTTACAATTGTAAATACAAATTCTGATTTATTTTATAATTCTGATTTTCCAAGTTTTGATTTAATTACAATTGTAAATTCTGATTTAAAATTCTGATTTTTTAAATTCTGATTTTCAAGTTTTATTTCTAATAAATCAACCTTTTTACAATTGTAAATTCTGATTTTATTTTAAAATTCTGATTTTCAAGTTTTAAATTTATTAAACTTTGTATGCAACTAAATTCTGATTTTAAATTCTGTTTTTTTTTAAATTCTGATTTTCAAGTTTTATTTTTCTGTTATTTTAATTCTGATTAAGTTTAATTTCTCTAATTTTGATTTTGATATTTAATGCACATATTTTAATTCTGATTTTAAAATTCTGATTTTTTAGTTTAATATTAATTTTACCGTCCATCCAGGCTGACCAACATTTTTATACAAATCATTAGGCTTTTCAATCTGGTTTGTTTTCATTTCACTATCTCCTTCTCTCCTTTTACAATTTAAATCGCATTCAGGTCCCATTGAATCACCAATACATTTAACAGAAAATTCCAAATTTAACGCGCTATTTGTGTCGTATCTCCCAAACAATTCCCTTTGTTCATAAAAAGGCCCAGCTTCGTAAAAACTGTGAGGCAATACATTTGTTAAATCCAGAGACCAAGCATCTACGGGCCACAAAGTCTCTGACCAGCTTATAATTCTTCCATCCAATAAACTAAAAACTGGGCCGAGATTGTAAGCATAAATGTCAACAAAACGCTGTGAAAATTAGAGGTTTAAAAAGGGTTGTAAAATAGAAAAATCAGAATTTTTTTATTTTAAGAAATTCTGATAAAAAAAATTCTGAAAAAAAAAATTCTGAAAAAAAAAATTCTGAAGAAAATTCTGAAAAAAATCTGAAGAAAATTCTGAAAAAAATTCTGATTCAATAAACTTTTACAGGTTTTGTAGAAAAATCAAGTTGCAATTCTGATCCCCATTCTGGTTCTAAACTTGCTTCAATAACACCTACAAAATAAACTTGAATTGTAAAACATTTTTACAAATTGTAATTTACAAAAATAAACTTGTTTACCTGTATCTCCAATAACTACAAATGGTGTAGAACGAAAATTGACTGTCTGACTGGAAATTGTAAAAAAAGTTTATTTAAATTACAAATTGTAAAAAAAAGTTTATTTAAATTACAAATTGTAAAAAAAGTTTATTTAAATTACAAATTGTAAAAAAAAAGTTTAATTAATTACAAATTGTAAAAAAAGGTTTATTTAAATTACAAATTG